TTGAGAAGGAAATTTATGGGAACTCCAGATTATATTGTATAAATTAAGGAGTTTTTTAAGACTATAATTAGACAAGTGCTTTAGGAATGCATAAGGAATATCATCGGGTCCAGCTGCAGTGTTTCTACTATTAGCTAAGGCAGATATTAGCTCATGCATAGTGAAAGGAGAGTTAAGGGATCTACTATGTTCAGATGATATCAGATGATTTCTGTGTGAACATAAGTCATGATGAGACAAAGCAATATTATTGGTTTTATTTCTGAACTTGTCTTCGAAATGTTTGGCAAAGGCGTTAGGAATAAGTTCGTATAAAGCGATCTCTATACCATTTGTAATTAAACGAGTAATTTTATTATTAGTTTTGTGACCTTGAATTTGTCGTATTTTTTTCCAAATTTGGCTAGGATTGGAGTTTTCGTTGATAGATGATACGTAATCTTGCCAGGATGATTTTTTACTTTTTTTGACTACGTGTTTGGCCTTGGCTTTGAATTTTTTGTAATTTATTAGATTTTCAAGGCTTCTGTTTTTTTGGTACTTATTTAAAGCTTTTTTGGATAGACGAATCGCCTCTTCACAAGAAGAGTTCCACCAAGGAACTACTTTATGATGTGGAGAGAATGATGTTTTGCCAATATGAGTCTTAGCAGCTGAAAGAATAGTGTCTGTTATTGACGTTAACAAATAGTCTACATCGTTTATTATTAGATGATCATGCGCGAGCAAGAGAGTGTCAACGGCTTTTGAATACTCTGGCCAGTTAGCTTTTTTTAGGCGCCAATAGCTTTTGGCAGAGGCAGTCCCATTAGAATTGTTGGAAATTATTATAGGATAATGATTGCTATCAAAGAGATCGTCAGCTGTTTGCCAGGTTAAAAAAGGTGCAGATTTAGGGTCACTAATACTAAGATCTATAGCAGAGAAAGATCCAGATGAAATATTAAAATGAGTGTTAGATCCTGTGTTAAGAAGACATGAGTTTGTGCAGTTAATAATATTTTCAACTACTTTTCCCCGTCCAAATGTGGATTGAGAACCCCACATAACGTTATGTGCATTGAAGTCTCCTGTGAGAATAAACGGCTGTGGAAGTTGGAATATAAGGTCTAGGAGCTCTTCTTCTTTTAGAGAATGGTTTGGGGGAATATATATGGAGCAGATGGTTAGTTTATTAGGGCAATATGTAGTTATGGCAATTGCCTCAAGATTCGTTATTAATGGTAGCATTGTTGAGAAGATTTCGCTGGACGCAAATATAGATGCACCTCCACTGGCTCTTAAGCAGTTCGTTCTAATGAAGTGGTATCCTTCAAAGGATTTAAGATGAGGAATATTCGTTGTATTAAAATTAGTCTCTTGGAGACAAAGAAAATCTGGATGGTAAATTGATATAAGATATTGAATGTGTTCAAGGCGCGGATAGTATCCGTCGCAGTTCCATTGTAAAATAGTGAATTTGATAAACTTATTTGGTTAGTAGAAAGAATTTACCTTGTACTAATTAAGTAATTTTAGAAAGGATCGATATCATTGCAGTTAGAGTCACATGAATTATTGGACGTAAGGCTGGTAAGTTCGTCAGCGTCTATAGAATTTAATGTGCGTTTTAGCTTTTTCGTTATTCTTGTAATGCGATTTTTAAGTGATCTATCGGATACAGTTTGGTATATTTGAGTAAGATCTTCGAGGAGAGAATGAATGTTCGTGGTGAAATTATGAGCTTCTTTGAGGGGATCACTACTTCCAAAGGAATTTTCTAGGAAGGCAATTATTTGTAATGCTGATAACGAAAATTTTTCTGGATTCGCACAAATTAATTTTTCAATACTTGAATGGGCACATAGACTAATTTTACAAATTTCTTTGTCATCAGTTTTTGTTTTCTTTTTAGGAGCTGATTTAGGAGTTGCGAAGGTTGTTGTGTTTGGTGTGTTATTAGAGTTTAAGTTTAGGGGGCTAGCGGTAACCAGTAGAGAAGGTGATTCAAGACTTGTGTCAGTGGAATGAGTTCTTTTTATGCCAGAGTTAGAAGGGACAGATAATGGTGTTATAGACTGTTCATTTGGGGTTGTTATGTCAGTAGGTGGGTTATTTGAATAGATTTCTTTTTTTGTGGAGGGTGAAAGAGGAGATATACTAGAATGAGGATCGACTGGATTTTGGCTAGAAGTTGTATTTGGAGAGGGATTGCTAGATATTTCTTGAGGGTTAGGGCAGGAGTCTGCAGTGTGTCCAGATTGCTTACATAAAAAGCATTCAAGTTTGTCCGAAGTAATAAAGATCCTATAATTTGTATTTTCATATGAGATTACAATTGAAGTATTTAACTCAAAGTATTCTTTATTTGGTATCACAAAGACTGAGCGTCGAAAACTGAAGATGTGAGCATATTCGTCTTCCGGAGAACTACAACGGATATGCGAGATAGGGGAAGCAAGTTGTAATCCAAGTTCATTTTTAAGTGCTTGCTCTATGAGTGCATTCGGAATCGAAGGACACACGTTAGAAAGTAGTAGCCTCTTTGCAGGAGTGATAAGTCTACGAATAGATATTGTTTGATTTCTAATCGAAATAGTAGGATTATTTTTTAGAAGATTATCTACTACGGTTACGGAAGAAAGATAGATGCATATACGTTGATTAGAAATACGTGAAGCAAAGGTTATTTCTTTAGGGGTAACAATTTCGCCGATTGCCTTTATGTAATCAAATAGTACTACGTCTGGGATAGCGTTCATAACAATGGCTTGAGTTCTACTAGGACATGATGTTGCTGTTGTAGATTTTTTCTGTGTTATTTTGGTTACTGCAGCGAAGCTAGGTTGAGCTGTTTGTGAAGATGATGCCATATTTGATTTTAATATTTTGGATGCCAAAATATTAAGTATGGCCAAAAACGACTGGCCTAATTTTATTTGTCGAAAGTATTAATTTAACTGATATCGACTTACCAATATTTGCTTGATAAACAATCACATTAAACTAAACAAGTTTTTATTCAAAATACTATTAGTAGGAAGCCCGATGTTTACTCGTTGGCTTCTGAAATAGGAATGGAACTTATTTTAAAATGATTGAATATAAGAAATTTTTAATACTAATAAAACTCTGCTGGAAAATCGCTTTAATATACGTTATGTATTCCCTATAATCTTTTTCTTTCTTTACTACTCGACAAATCCAGAATCTAGTCAGTATGTGTCTATATATTTTACCAATATATTTATGCATACCAATTGTACATTTCCTTTCACAAACATAACTATATTACTTGACAAAAGTGGTATTTACAAATTAAAGTGTGATGATTGTGATGCCTATTATGTAGGTAGAACCATTAGAAAGCTATCTACTAGAATTTCAGAACATTTGAAAAAACCAAACTCTTCAAGCTTTGGTCACCATTTATTATCTAGTAAACAAAATTTTAACATCAATACTGGTTCGTCTTTTTTACATGACATCAGTAGAAAGAAAAACTATTTGGAGTTGAATTTATTGGAGGATTTGGAGATTACAAAGGAAACAAATGGAAACTCTCATTGTCCTAATACTCAAATTAATTTAAATTGTACTAGTTTAAACCTATTTTTAAAAATTTTATTGCAGCTTCACCTTGTAGTGGATCCAGCTCAGCTGTTTAGATTTCCTGCACTGAGTATATCCATTAAGAATTTATTAATTTCATACTTTGATCTACATTACTATTGTATTCTTTAAGAATTTACAAAACTAGCTTGCTCGGGTTCAATTGATCAATAATTGGCGTTAAGTACACTCTCCATACCTCTGCGTAATTTATATATACCAATTCCACAGTTGTATATTTCAACATATCCCGCTGTTGGGCAGTTGGTCTTTAGTAACGCTTTTACATATTAGTTTTACAGTTCTCCCATTGACTGTGGGTTTAACTAAACTACTTGAATTACACTCCATTTATACACTGCTTTCAATGTTGTCTTAATTTTTAGTATTTCAATTTCATAGTCAAATTTCTTCTTTTTTTTTGAGTATTGATAGTGCTTGGTAGACCATTTTATTGTAGTCAACCACCCACTGTTTAATAGATAGTTTAGTCTATTTCTTTCATTCACACTTTATGTCCACTTCATTTGCTCTCAAACTTACAACCTTATTATTACAGACGGGTGTGAGTGTGAGATCTGGATTATGCAATCTAGTTAAATCAAAATATTCTATATGTCATATTTCATAAGCTGATTTTCTATAGTAGTATTAGTTGGACCTTTGGTCAATGCCAACTTACTTACACAGAATTTTTATATGTGCAGATCACATATCCATGATTTTGACAGCCCATCAAAGCTGTCATATGTCACATGTACATGTACAATTATGTACAATTTATGTTCAATTTCATATTTACTACATTCTGGGCTTGCTGGATAGCCAAATTTGACGAAGTAAGTCTAAAACGTTAATCACAAAAAAATTTTATCAACCACTAACTTCGGGTTTTTATCGAAGTTAATTAATTTTCTTCATTTAAAAAACAGTGGAGTACACAGCAAACAAAGCCACACACCCCCTGTCAGAAATTGACCCCTTCCAAACTCGGCCAAAAGAATTCCTTTAGCACTCTGTGTGTGGGTAAGATAGTTTCCAAATTAAATAATTGTATGGATTCTACATGGATCCTACACATACCAACTACTAAAAAATGAATAGTTTTATATTTATTATTTGTTGGCTAGGGCATTGAATGGAACGAATGAATGTATGGTTTTTTATCAAGCTACTGATTCTTGTGATACTGATGTTTACATTATATTTTTAATTTACCTCTATGCGAAGTACTATTTTGTTAACAAATGCAATAGGTCAATACATCATTCACAAATTCAAGTAGTCAAATATATTATCGTGGCTGAATGCATCAAGTATCCAAAGCCATTAATTAAATAAAAAAAATATTTAATATTAGTTGAAAATGTATAACTCGAATAATTATAAAAATCGTTGAATTTTTTCAGGTTTTACGCCCCTTTACAATGCAGTATTTTATAAGAGAGAGAAGTCTGTGGAAATGTTACTCAAGGCTGGTGCCTGGCTTCGACCTTCCTATAAAAATGAGCTTCATCTTCTGGGAGAATCAGGTAAGAAACGTTAAGGGTTATTAATTTTTTAGTATTTAATTATGTCATATTTTGTTATATTATTTGAGCAAATATATTTACCTATCTTGATCTTTCGTATTGTAAATCTGTTACGAATTTGGTGCTAATAACAGCCTTTCAGTTTTAAAATAATAATTTGACATGAAATCGTCTAATAGATACCACTAAAATTTTTTTGCGTAGTTTAGTTATTGGTATTTGATTGACAAAAATTACGCAACTAAAATATTTAGCAATTAGAAGCAACTCAAAGAAACTAGGAAACTATACAATGCTTTCATACATGAACAAGCAATTCAGTTGAAAAACTGCGCTTGTCAATGGACGACATTTTTTTACAACAGCGTTTTGTAGTACTTTTGTAGTGCAAACGTTTTTTTGCAATACGGAGGCAAACTTAATTCTGTTGCGAATTAGATGGTATTTAATTTAGAAACTTTAATGCCGTTTTGAATTTCTTAAATTTTTTTTGGATATAGTTGGTCCATTAATTACAAAACAGACCGTTAAGCCTGTTAAACCAGGTATTAAGAATAATAACATAAGGTACAAGAATAATAACAAAAAGACTGAAAATAAAATTAGATTTTTACCAACCTAGTGAACAGGAAGTTTTTAGGAAAACTTTGGTGCCAACTATCACCTTCACTGCATAAAACGGATCATAGAAAAATTCAACGAATTGGTTCCTGGTTTCCCTAGACTTTTGCAAAGCGTTTGATACAATAAAAATTAACAATGTAATGAGAGCATTGGAAGAAAGTCGCACAATTTGATCGCAAATATATACAAAAACGCAACCATGACCGTAAGACTACACAAAGATAAAACTGTGTAAGAATCAACAGAGGAGTCAGAGAAAGAGACACGTTATATCCTAAACTCTTTACAGCAGTTATGGACCATGCTGTCAAAAAATTGGAGTGGGAAGCCAGATAAATCAATGACCTTGCACAAACAAAACCTCAAATAGCATTTGATGTAATTTTTAGGTTAATTTAAAGATTGTTGAAAAAATGTAGAAACTATCTCATAAATTCTATATCTATATTGTTGAAATTTTAAGTATTAACGAAGTGTTAATATCTTTCTATAATAACATCTCACTATTAACCTGCTATAAAATAATCTTACTATTTTTAAAATAATCTTTTTTAAAAACGATTTCGAGAGTGAAAAGCGAAACGTCAAATAAAAATAATAAAATATCAAATCATGAATGTTTTGCTTGTGTGAGTCCATTTCAGGTAAAAGAAATACTAAGTAAGACTTACTCTCAATAAATTTAATTTAACTATCTAGATATCCGTTTTCGCTCTCTACAATATGCAAAGCATCTTCAAGTCTCGATACAAAGTTAAATAAATGATGCCGGTATAATCTATTAATTGTACTCTATTAATTGATGGTTGGAAGAAAATGGTTTAAACTATTCTGTATTGTTGAATGGAGAACTTAAGTCTGCTATTGTAATTGTTTGACAATAAATGGGGGAAGTTCTTGAGGGGATAGATTTTATCTAATGAAGTAGTGATAGATGTAATGTGATTGTTTGTTAGATGAAAGTGATGTTCTATATCATTGAGTTATTTAAAAGTTATTTATATTTATTCAAGAGATATATTTATGAAAAATGTGTTATTTATTGAGATTTTATTTCATGAAGGTGACAGGTGTATGACAATGAATGAGATTAAATGTACAAATTGTGTGGGGATGCAATTCTTTCAACTTGTAATTATCAAATTTCTTTGATAAAGTTCTATTGGCATATATGGCAAATGATTGCAAAGTCAAGTATATAAAATTATTATTATTATTATGATTAATATTAAGTTAAAATAATAAAGGACAATTTAAGTACACAGAAACCGCTTAAAAGAGGGGGACGAAACAAACATTAAATTTAAAAAAGAAAGGACTTGAATGCACTACATCTCTTACTTGGAGACAATGTATTTTTATGTTATCTATTTTATGATTGTGAGTAAGTCTTATTGATTATTTCTTTTACCTATTTAATAAAATATAATTGTCATTACGGTAAATTCCAGCTTATTCCTGTCTAAATATAATATTTAGCGTTTTTTTATTGTTAATATATTACCTTTTTTTAAAAGTCGTTAACTACTATTCTCATTTTTTTTTATCAAAACTGAACTTTTTGATAAATTGTATATTTATGTTAGCTGTTTTCTTCTAGGCGGCACTAAGACCCTTGAGCTAATTCTCAATGATAAACGTTGCACTCCAGAAATTATTAACAGACCTGACGATAAGGGCAGGACGGCTCTTCATCTTGCCGCCCAGTCAAGCCACAAAAACTGCCTAAGGATGCTTATAGAGCAAGGAGGAGACTTGGCGGCCACCGACGAGGACAACGATAGCGTGGCCGACATTATTTTCCAGCAGATCATTAATCCTGAAATTTTTATTACAGAAATACTTGACGATAAGATATGTATGAAACAATTGGAACAGTTTAAGTTTAGTTACAATATAGGTAAGTTTTTACTGAGTTATAAATTTAATACTAGTTTTATTAAATTTTAAACGCTGTCTTTGAAAAGTATATATCAGTAATATTGAAAATGACATCCATTGACAATATTATAAGACATATTAACAAGGATAAAAAAGAAAACATTCAACGATTAAATGATATTCCAACATGTCAATAGAAAAAGCATTTTACAAATCTGTGGTATAACTTGGCAATGGGGTTGGATTGGGGCAACTACAGAGAAAAGAAACAAAAGGGGTTGTCTCTTGGGGCAGGCATGTTTTTGACGCTGAAGTACCTGAGGGTCTTGGAAAGTACCCTTGTTTTGGACGCTGACGGAAGAATTATCGCAGGTACCAGATATTAGATATAATTAGGATTCAATGATGGTCATTGAGATTTACTTAGTTACTAGTTATTAGTTTGTCAGAGAATAGTGAAAAGTGAACATGGAAATTTCAACGTTAGTAAGTAATCATGGTTAAATTTTGTTCAAAGTGAACAGTTTTACTTTTTCTCAAGATAAAGTACTAAAATCGGGAGAAACGTATTGGAGGTACGTAAAACGGTCGTGTAAAGCGAAGATATTCACGAAAGGGTCAGAAAAGTTATTGATCCGAAGTAATCTGGAACATAATCACGAGTGTGATATCAAGACGCTTAATGCAGTTCCAAAAGACACGCTAAGGATAATTTGACCGAAAGGCCGTCCAAAATCATACATAGTGCGTTGAAAGAAAATGTAGATTGCTTGAGCCACATGTCTGTTAAAGACGTTAATTTAATACGAAATCAAATATACAGTGAACGGCGAATGGCTCAACCGAAACTGCCCAAAAGTAAAGAAGAAACTATTGCTGCGGTAAATATTATGAATATCAAAACACTTAAAGACGAGAATTTTATATTTGCGGTTGAACTAAGTTCTAACATTATCTTCTTCTCGTGTAACACTAGCATGCGTTTTCTGTGTGACAGTGAAACGATTTATATGGACGGTACATTTAGTTACTGTGCTCAATATTTCAAGCAATTTTTTACCATACACGTATTTATCAATGGACATTATATACCATTGTGTTATTGTTTACTTCCCGACAAATCGGAACCAACCTTTATAAAACTATTTAATGTTTTGAAACGCAAATGTGAAGTAATTGATCTAAAATTCAATCCAAAAATCATTTTCTTCGATTTTGAAATTGCTATCCACAATGCTGCGCGTTTTGAATTTCCAAATGTGCACATTAAAGGGTGCCGTTTTCATCTTATGCAAGCTTGGTATCGTAATATCGGTGGTTGTGGCTTAATTCGGGAATATAAATTGGCAGACAGTGAAATATCTAAATGGCTGAAATATATTTTTGGACTGCCATTTTTACCTCCCTCAGAAGTCGAAGAATCTTTCATATATGATTTTATGGCTATTCAAGCAAAGGATTCAAAAATTGAAAAGTTTTTGACTACTTATTGGATAACTACATTGGCGACCACGCAACATTACCGTTGGAGATGTGGGATGCGATGAGTGAGAGTTTACAATTAACAATTAATGCTTGTGAATCGTTCCACTCGCGTTTTAATGATAATTTTTACCATGCTCATCCAAATATTTTTCATTTTATTGATGTTTTAAAAATTTTCAAACTGAAACTTACATTAAAATAATAGTTCGTTAGAAATAGGATACATGAGTATCAAACTAACTGTATCGATCGATTCCATTTCGTAAAGTGTATGTCGTATTTATTTCAAAGTGACAAATAAACCTTATCAAGCTTAATCTCTAGAATTTTATTACCTGATTTTTTCCGTATTTTATTACTAGTGGATTCTCCTTTAAGCTTATCTGGGTTAATAGCTATTATTTGCTTATTTCTTTTTGTTCTTTTAAATTCTATCCTAATTGTTGCAAGAAGATTGTGGTCGGTGTGGATGTCAGATCCAGGGTATGTCTTGCATGCTTTTACTGCGTTTTTGTATCTTTTGTTGACCACTATCTCATCTATTTGATTTCTTGTGATGCGTCTTTCTCTTCCATCTGCTGGAGATTTCCACGTGTAGAGACGTCTGGGTGGTAACTTAAAAAACCTGTTCATTATACTGTAGTAACCAGCACGATACTAATTCTTCTTAAGTTATATTTTCTAACTCTCGCTGATATTTAAAACTTTCCGGCAATACCCCAAACGCCATTGGCAAAGTTTTTTTTTTATTTATTTGCAGCTTAAAACTCAACTTAACTAGTAATTATTTCTAATTATGATTAATAGAAAATACTTTTTAATTTTTTATGATTTATTGATAAATTTATAATAAAATGTGTTTAGATACCCCTATAACTTACATTTTACAATGTTAACATTGAAAATTCACTGCACTTAAAGGTAAAATTTTAATGCGAGTTTAAGTTTTAAACACCACGCTGCCCGCTTAAATAGTCCGTCCATCCTGAAACATTATTGTATTATATTTCGCTACCTACGTGTATAAATTATTTACAGCAACCTTCAAGCGGCACCCGTGACACGGTCACAAACATAATAAAGAAGATATTCCCCGCGGTATCGAGGCAAATTTGTTTTGATCCTGATCCTAATTACGTAGGAAAATTAAGGTTTCGGTGACCGTGACTTCAATCAAATTAGATTATTCGCTATACATATAACTATAATCCGCACATAACCCTAAATCACGATATCATCATGAAAACGGGTCGAATTCTGATTAAATTATTGCCGATTAAGAATTACAACCGGTTGCCAGTTTAATTTGAAACTATTCGTTTGGAGTATAGATGGAAACACGTTTAATAGATTAATATATAGGCCTATGCTATTGGAATTCGTAATTGAAAATGCCATAATTAGATTTTAACATCTTTAGAATTAGGAATAATGCGACAAATATATTAAAAACCAGAACGGCATTAAAAGCACCTTTATTATTATATGTTTACGGATCCTATATTTCAAATCTGATGAGGACCGATGAGGAAATAAATTATTTTTACGAAGACGTTAAAAAAGCTATAGACAACAACATAGAATCCAAAATAATAATAATGGGAGACTTTAACGAAAAAATTTTAAGTAAGATTGAAGACTGAAAGCAAGATTGAAAACTTTGGATTCGGCACAAGAAACACAAGAGAAGAAAAACTCATGGAATTCCTGGAACAAGAAAACATGTATGTTATGAATACCTTCTACAAAAAGAAACCTAACAGAAAGTGGACATGGGTCGCACCTAACGGAACTACCAAAAATGAAATAGACTATTTTCTCTCAAACAACAAAGGAATATTTGAAGACGTCACAACAATAAACAACGTAACAACGGGCAGTGACCATCGTATAGTCCGAGCAAAAATAAATATTAACATGAAAGAAGAGAGAAAAAGGATTAAAAAAAAAACGAGAATGGATGCCTTTAAACTAGGAACAAATCGAGTTCGAATCTGATCCTTCACATAATCAAGATCAAATTGACGAGATTAATTAAAGCCTAAATAAAAACCTTCTCGCAGCAGGACTACAGGTCGCAAAGAAAACGAGGACTAAAGAAGACAAAATGAGCAATGAAACTAAACAGCTAATGACGGAAAGAAGACAACTACTAGCGCAAAATAAACGCCATATAGATATAGAGATATAGGCAACTAATACATAATATATATGAAAATGCAACTATGATAGTACAATTAGATGAAAATACAAATCCCATCCCCATTAAGAGACGAGTGAGACAAGGAGACGTTATCGCCAAAGCTTTTCAACCTAGCCCTAGAAGACGTCTTCAAAACTCCAAATTGGTCAACCTATGGCATTAACGTTAATGGCAACAAGTTAAACCACCTCAGATTCGCTGACGACATAGTGATTATAGCGAGCACATTTGAGGAACTGCAAATTATGTTGGAGGAACTAGCAGCCAGCTCCCAATACGTCGGCCTAAAAATGAATATGAAAAAAAAAACAAAAATAAGTACAAACACAGAAGACCCCAGACATATAACTATAAACAGCAGTGAGATAGAACAAATCCAGGAATATATCTACCTAGCCAAATCCTGAGACTTGACAAAGAGAACCAAAGGAAATTACTAGAAGAGCAAGCCTAGCATGGGCAGGATTTGGAAAACTTGGATACTTAAGAACAGCAAAATACCCCAATACTTGAGGAGCAAAGTGTTCATGCATCCTTCCTATCATGACATATGGATGTCAAACCTGGACCCTAACCAAGGCAAACATAAATAAACTAGCCACAACAGAAAGAACAATGGAAAGAGCAATGTTAGGTATACGACTGTCAGATAAAAGGAGGAACGACTGGATAAGATCCAAAACAAAAGTCGAGGACATAACAATAAGAATTGCAAAACTTAAATCGAGCTTCGCGGGCCATACAACATTGGAGACCTTACGAAAGTAAACGACCAAGAGGAAGACCACAGATGAGATGGGTTGATGATGACATTAAAAGAATAGTCAAAACAAATTGGAAATATGTTGCTCAGGATAGAGACCGATGGAAGGAGTTGGGAGAGGCCTATGTCAAAACATGGACGACAGAAGGCTAAGAAGAAGAAGAAGATATTTCAAATCTTGGATTTGTATTACACATTTTAAAGTACTATAGCGTTGTCAAAACTATTACCGTAGAACGGGGTGACTTTGTTAATTTTTTCCGTATTTTCCAGCGTAACTTTTGAATGTGTCATCTCAAATATGTGGAAAAGTCACCATTGGGATGCATTTTATGTTTATTTTATTTAAATTGATAGTATATATGTTTTCAAATTAAAGATTTGCTCAAAAAAAAAATAAATAAAAAAGTGTATATCGAAATCACCCATTGATGTGGGGTCACTTTGATATCCCATTTTGAAATAGCTTAGCCAACGCATACAAGCTGTAGTAATATCAATGTCAACCCATTTTTATTTAATCGATCAAACCAATTTTTAGATATTTCAATTTTAATTTGGGAGGGGG